TTGCAAGCTGGACCACGAAGCTAATGACACATTCTGGGGCTCTTCCAGGAGTTTGGGAGGTACAGGGGGTTAGATTTACTTCATTTTCTTGGAAGAGACACATTAACCTTGTCAGCTGGCCAACAGGAGAGAATATTTGGCAGTGCTGTTGCTGAGCTGGCCAGGTTACTACGGTGTTGAACGGTTGTACTTCAGTGAGCAACCAGAAATGGCAACACACGGGCACAGCACCTGCACAGCCACACTGGAGAGAATATTTAGAGGCCTCCTCTGTTACAGAATTAGTTTCTTTAGGAAGTGAAAAGAAAAGGTAAAAAATTTCAAGAACTTTTTGCTGTTGTCAGAGGTGTGGAGGATAAAACTTCACTTCAAAATGCCTGCACCAAGCCTGCACAGTATTTCAGGTGGTGGGAAATCAGTGCTCTTCCATGATAAATACCTGCTGTCCATTGTCTTTTTGATTCAACCTTCAAAAATCGATCCAGCTTTTTAACAAACTGTGGGTAATTCTGGGTACTGAACGAGGGACACAACATTTTTGTCATCCTTGGTACTGCTCTGGCAAGAACAAGGCTGCTCTTGTGCTGGAGCTGTGGAATTTTGATGGCAAGTTCTCAGGGTCCCCATCCACATGATGTCCATCCACACAATCAATTCTGGGTCGCTGTAAGAACATGACTTTTTTTTTCCACCCTGCAAATCCTTTTGGTGCTTGCCTTTCATGCCTCCCCACCAAACATGTGTGAGGGACCATGGAAGTGAAGGCAGAGATGAACAGGAGCGAGGAGGAGTAAGGATGGAGGGTGGGTACCAGCAGCATGAGGCTCCTGGTTGGATTTGTTGGGTGTAAAACTCAATGTGCTCTGTGGGGCTGAGGTTTGTAGGACATGGGCTCCTCAGGGAGCAACTCCAGTGCAAACCACAAGTGGGGAATGCGATGCAGCTCCTGGAGCGAAGCTGTGCTGGAAGCAAATCTGCTTTTTCTATCCTCTGATGCTCCCTAGTTAGCCCTCCCCCCTCCCAGGGCCCGGTATTTATGTTTCCAGATAATAATGATGTGGTGTGGCTGGCAGAGTAATTTAAATAATTGGACATTATCTTGAGAAGCAAGCACCTAATTAGATCAAAATAAACTGAGAACTGAAATTTTCATCTGTTTCTAATAACCCTTTACCTATGTACAGTATTGCTGCCACGACAGAGATTTCATTATTCACACCACTGTGTGTACTTGGAGCTCACTGGTGATGGAGACTCTTGGAGGAGCAGAGAGCTTGGAGGGCTTTGGCCAAGGCTCAGTGACTCATTCCTGGTTCCCCAGAGTATTTTGCCCCTTGTATTTGCCCCTTGTGTAACCAGTGAGGTTTGGAGTTTGTATCAGCAAGCTGAGTTAGAACGCAGAACTTTGGAGATAAAAGGCTCAAAGGAAGTCTTGGAACTCTGTTCTTAATTTCTCTAAGTTTATCTAGGAGGTTATAATCTATTCATTTTAATACAAATGAGGAAGAGGCAGTTCAGATGTTCTCCAGCATTTGGTAAATCATTGGGACCATCTGAGTGCATGGAAGTGTTGCCTCTCCAGCACACCAGCTCTTAATTTGGTCCTGAGAAAAGGACTCCGCTGTTGAAAGTTCACTCAAAGAGTCTTGTTTTGGCTTTGACAACTACAGCTGAAAATCTCTGGTACTGAGGGGGTGGTTTGGAGTTGCCAGGATTACAGCTAAGGGAAGAAAACAAGGGAAATGTTTACTAGCCTTTATTTTTAGGGATTGGTTTGTGTCTTTCTCCTGATGAGTTGCTCTTCTTCACACTTCCTTGTACTCTTATTCAGTTGATTTATTTAAAGGTATGTCAGTGCTGGCTGAAATGAAACACTGTGCCTCCTCTTCCTGCTTATTGCTGACCGCTCCAATAATTCATTTTTTAGCTCATTAACTAAGAGGGGATGTGAGCAGTGGTCCTCCAGGGAGCTGCAATGAGGTTAAGTGATCTACTGCTGACAACTCTGCTCTTGGACTGGCCTTCCTTGGGGGAAATGAAACCTCGACCAAGACAAGCTGTGGATCCCAGAAGTGAAATTGGGGCATCAGAGCAACAATTACAGTATTTATGTCTTGTTGTCAGGATTTGGGAGATGAATGCCAGCGGCAGAGCTGCAGCTGTCTCCCGGGAAAGTCCCCAGGACTTCCCATCCAAATTAAATGGTGTGTGCCAGAGATGGAGGGAGGATGTTTGTGGGCCTTGGCTTTCTAGATCTAGATGCTCATTGGAAAACAGCCCCTCTATGTTTTGGCTCTCTGTGAGGCCTGGGTGAGTGTACTTCTCCTGCTACCTCTGATAAGGTTTAGTTTTCTACCCTAAAATCCAAATGCTGTGTCTTTCTTGTGCCCAGTTTGTGCTGTTGAATAAGATGTCACTCAGTAGCTGATGTCAGTGACGTGCTGCCCCAAATGCCTGAGGCTTTTGAATCACCTTTATTTTGATTTGTGGTGTTTGCTGTGTTCCCACCACAACCCTTGATGTGACTCCAAAGGTGGAATTGGGCCTTAACAAATGGAGCCTTTTGGTGCCCTGCGTGGTGAAGAAAAATCAGGCAGGTTTTCTGAAAAGGGAAACTGGAGTGAGGTGAAATAACCGTGTGCAAAGGTTGGATTTTTAGGTGAATGTAGCCCCGTGTCACAGCCTGCTGCTGGTGGCAGGGCCCTGCGCTGGCTTCAGCATCTCCTGAGGGATTCCATGTCTCCTTGGCTGTTCCCAGGCTCTGCACCACACTTCCTCTGGTTAAGGGATGCATCCTGACCAGAGCACACGGTTAATGCAGAGCAGTTATGGGTGACTTGATCATGCTGGGGAGTGCCTTAAGGAGGGACCACTTGCATCGCCTCCATCCCTAATGCTGGTGCCATTATTTTCCCCTTCCTGTTCCATTTATTTTTAAAGGGTTTTCTCTTCTTCCCCCACCCTTTTGAGACAGTAGGATAAACCTGAGCAGGGCTGGAGCATCTTCATCCCTCTTTCTTGAAGCCTCCCAAGGGCATCAGGATTGCCCGTGTGACACACGGCAAATGAGAAATTCGTGCCAGTGAATTTGTAAACCAGCAGCCTAAAGCTTGGAAAGCTTCTGCCTAAACTAAGCTTTTATTCTCTGTATTTTAGTGCATATCACAGCGTCACTGTTACACTTTGAGGTGAATTGTGATTGGAAGTGGGAGACTTGTGTCAAACAGCTTGTTTTCTAACAAAAAAGGGGCTTTTCTTGGAGCCCTGGTGATCACAACAGCCAGTGCTCTGACAGGAGCCAAAACTTCCTATCACCGAAAAGATGGTCTGGGGGAAAAGGGCATTCATTTGCAGATTCTTGGCTAAAGAAAATTAATTGAGTAGGTGTTTGAGGTATAGTTTGCCTTTAGGATGTATGGACATAGGAGAAATAAATGGCCAAAGCCCTGATGTGAGCTGCTGTGGGTGAACAGCACAGGTTGAATCACTTCACTTTCCAGTGTGGCACGTTTTAAACACACAGTGGATGTATTGGTTATACTTTCAATACCTCTATGTATGTTAAAAATCACATGAGATGTAAACATCCCTGAAGATAATCTAGGTGGATACTGGAAGTAGACCTGCTGCAAGAATGCCCGTTTTATTGTAGATAATTGCATGTTACTTTTTCCTTTTCATGGCACTAGTTCTGGTTTGTGTTTTTACCTTAAAAAAATACAAATAGAAAACCCATGAATTAAAGATTCTGATAATTCCTTTTCTTCCTCCTCTCCATCTGGAATACCTGCAATGATACTCTGGTTATCAGATCTTGCCATCAAAGGTTAATTTGCAACTCCCCAAACGGGTCGTTGCGGGGGGAGGTTGGTGTGTCTTTTAGCTTGCAGGAGTCATTCAGAGGTTTGATGTAAAAGAGCACTCTCTGTGTTAATTTTCTGTTTGCACTTTTGCTCTGAATAAAAGCCCCGGACCTGTTTTAGGATAAATTGTGGTCGGGGTAGGGAAGCACAAGCTTTGGGAAGCTGTGCCTGAAAGCATCCAGGCAGGTCAAAGCAAGGTCACTCCACATGTCCCAGGAAATGATGCAAAACTAATCCAGATTTGCTGGTGGAAGGAGCTGTTTACATAAGTATTTAAAAACAGATTAGGGCTAACCTGACACTAGATTACTGGGAGCAGTGTAAACACGGCTGAAAGGCATAAACAGAGCTTGGCCTTTTGTACTCCAGGGGAGAGAATCTGTCACCTGGACCAGGGTCCTGGCTCAGGTGATGTGTATGGCTCTCACAGGCTGAACAGATTACCTGAGGTACCTCTAAATGGGACTTTGTCTGGGGCTGGATCTCTCACATCCTATAATTGTATGCTAATTTTTTTAATGGCAACTGGAGGGACTTGTTTGTAGCCCTTGTTCTCCTGTAACTTGAGAGCACCCAGAAAGCTTTTGATAGTTCTTTGATATATCAGGAGGCAAAGGCGCTTCAAAGGATTGGTTTGGTGGTTTGAATTTTGGAAAAACAAACAGAGGAACCATCCATATGCCTTTGGAAACATTACTGAACTTGGAGAAGGACAAAGCACCCCTGTTTGGTTACTTCTGCTCCGAGATACAAAAATTGGATGTATTTTGTGCAATGTATTTTTCCAGCCCAACCGTAAGGTGGAACCAGGCTGTGTGTCTTTGGTCTTTGTGACAGTGAGGGCTCTTGCACTGACCTCTTGCCAGCCCAGGGTTTTTTAAGACCTCCTGGCTGTTGTGACCTTACAGCCCTGTGGGCACAGCATCCATCCAGGAGGATCTTGGGCACTGCAGTAACATGGCTCAGTAACAATAAGGCGGGCAACACAAGTACTGCTGCAAACACAAGGTTTGGGTGAGCTGTTTCTGTGAGGGCTTTCTTGCCAAAGATTCTTAGGGGGAAATAACCTCCTCATTGGTTAAGCACCGTTTGCTGTGGCACCAGGTGAGAGTGACCCGTCTCCTCTGGCTTCTTTAGGGAAGAAAAGGAGCTCTGGATACGTGCGAAGTACGAACAGAAGCTCTTCCTTGCCCCGCTGCAGTGCCTGGAGCTTTCTCTGGGCCAGCATCTCCTGAGGGCCACAGCCGAGGAGGACCTGCGGACGGTGATCCTGCTCCTGGCCCACGGCACTCGGGAGGAGGTGAACGAGACCTGCGGAGACGGTGACGGGCGCACGGCCCTGCACCTGGCCTGTCGGAAAGGGAACGTGGTGTTGGTGCAGCTCCTCATCTGGGTAAGTGCCGGTGGGCAGGGTGGGCTTTGTCTGTGTCCCTCAGCAGGACACCTCTCACCTGCTCCTTGGGGCTTCACAAAGAGGTTGTGCTGACACAGGACATTCCTCACTGCGCACTCTCAAAGGGCAGCACCGGGGCAATAAGGTATGTTTGTGCCTGTCTCCTCCTTGATGGAAAGGGAAGGAGAGCGTAGAAAATGAGGAAGGAGAGATTCCCTTAGCTCGGAATACCTCTGGGATGGATTTTGTTCCACATGTGAGATCCCCTTCCCATAGCAACCTTTATGTGTCTGGCTCAGTGCTCTGTACTCACGTTGTCGGGCTGGTATCCTGCCCGCTCCCTCTCCTCCCTGTCCCCATCCTCCTTGAAATCCAAATCTGTCCCTCACAAACCTGCTCCTTCCTATTCTGCTGCTCCGTTGGCACCGCAGCTTCCCACAGCCCCCGTGTCCTTCCCGCAGTACGGCGTGGACGTGATGGCGCGCGACGCCCACGGGAACACGGCGCTGGCCTACGCCCGCCAGGCCTCCAGCCAGGAGTGCATCGACGTGCTCCTGCAGTACGGCTGCCCCGACGAGCGCTTCGTCCTCATGGCCACCCCCAACCTGTCCAGGAAGAACAACAACCGGAACAACAGCGGCGGCAGGATGCCCACCATCATCTGAGGAGCTCCCCCGTGCATTCGCTGAGTTACATCCGCAGCCTCACATCCCTCCATCCCCATCACAGCTCCGCTCTGTGAGTCTGGTAACTCTCCTTTTCCCTTTTCCCTTCGGTGCACCCCTGTCCCATCTGGAACGCGGAGAGCGCGAGGGGATGAGGAGGAGCCCGGGGGGCTGCCGGGAAGGCCGTTGTTTCAGTGACAGCTCTGGAAGGACGGGGACGAGCGGGCGAGGGCGCGTGGGTTGAGCGGGACACACCGCGCGCGTGGCACCGGGACCATGGGAGCGCGGCCGCCCCGGAGCAGGGACACGGAGCAGGGACACGCGGCCTCCCCAGTGTGAGGGAAGGGCGGAGGGAGAGGCGAGCGAGAGGAGGAGGAAGGAGAGCCGGTGACTTCCCGTGACTGACAGTTAAGCACATCAGTACATTTCACCTCTGCCGAGCGCCGCGCCTGGATTCCATTCTCTTCTCTGAAGAGCTTGACGGCATAAATCAGAAGCAAGCACAGAGTTTGTCAGGTTTGAAGCTCCTATGATGGTATGTGTCAAATCAGTTGTAGCTAATCTGTCCGGGGAGAATACTGGCTTCATTACACTTGTATAGTTGAGTTCTTCCAGCATTACCGCTGTTTAATAGAACATGATTAGTCATCACGGAGAAAAAAGCATATTAGCTGAGGAGGTAGTTACATGGCACGCTTCGGTGATTGCTTGGATGTGATTGCAATATTCTTAGAAGCATCATATTATCTCAGACATGTTCTTTCAAGCCCTTGGAGCCCTCCTTTCTAAATTCACTGTCATAATTTAGTATCTGTTTAATTTTTCAGTCCAAAGAGAGGAAATGAGTTGCTGAGTGTTATTTGACTGCAGTCTCCTTGGTGTAAAAACAAAATGGAAAAAATAAATAAGAGTAACTCCGAAACACAAAAAGGAATAATGAATAAGCGCTATGGAAAAAAACATTTCAAGTACATTTAGTGAAATTAATAAACACATTAAAGGCTAATATTTTTTTTTTCAGCCAGCAGAAATAGGTTCTGTCATTTTGCCAAGGTAAATTGTGTTGAGTTTTTGGTCACTCCTGTGATGCATTGCATAACTTATACAGATTTTTGTATTGTGTCTCTAGATTCTATGTATGTAAAATCTATTTGAATTTTAAAAAAAACATAAATATACATTGGATTTTTTTTTTGTACAGAAAATGACATCTCTGTTAATTTATAAACCGTAATGGATGTGAACTAAATAATGTGCAACTAGTTAGGATCTGTGGGCTACAGGTCATTGTACATCAATAATATTCCCAGCAGTGACTCTCGTTTCCAAAGCCTGTGAGGAACATATCAGGAGGAGATCAGAGCACACTTGGCATGGAAAAAAAAAAGTGTGTGAGACCTTTTAGAAAGGAAAAAGAGGCTGTTTCTTAGCGCTGTAAATATATTTTAGCCCAGAAGTCAGGAAGCTTTCACAAGCCAAGACAAAAAGCCCTGTTGTGGCCGGGGGAAGATCAGGTTTGATTAAGCTCAGAATTGATAGCCTTCAGCGGGCAGGGCACGGCTGAGCTCCACTCCCAACCTGGCTGCTTTTGGCAAGAAAAATGGCTTGTGAAAGTAGCCTGGACAGTTCATTTGAATCCCAGGTTTTAATACTTGATTGGATTATTTTGATCTTACCAGGCAGATCCCGGCTTCTGCTGTTTTCCCAGTAGTGGGATTCCGGCGCAGGGAAGCAGCTTGCAGGGGTTTTGGCAGGCAGGAAAGTGATTTTTTTTTTTTTTTTTTTTTTTTGAAGTGGCATACGGCAGTGTGAAGATGGGGGAAGGGTATATCACGGAGAGAGTTGAAAACTCAACTGAATTCTGTGGCAAAGGAGCAATTATGTGAAGGCAGTGAGGTGCACACAGCATGGTAATTTGCAAATCTACCTGCTCGGATGTCTTTCCCAAGCCTTCGGTGGTGCTCTTCCTTGGGGCTCTGGATTTCACTCAGCACACAGTGGCAGGAGCGTGGCAATTGCCAAATAAACTCCACGTGGAGAAAAAGTGAAGGGAAAAAATGTAATCTGGTTGTCTGAAGGAAAAAAAAAAAAACAAAACAGAAAATTATGGATTTGATGTAAATTATTAAATTGCGGTAGAAAAACAAGCCTCAAGATGGAAGCACAGGAATATTGACCAGTTTTTCCTCTTTGGAGGTGTCCTCCTTTTGTACTTTGTTACTATATAGACCTTTGATGCTTTCTGGGGAGGGAATCTTCCTTTGCCCGGCCTAGGCTGGCTGAGGCAGAGCAAGGACACAGCTGAATCCCTTCAGACTGGGATAATTTTAAATATTCTTTTTTTTTTTTTTAATTAAGGAAAGGTGTCTGTTGTAATTGCTATTTCTCCATCATTCCTGTGCAGCTCCCTGATCTTTGGTACTCACGGGTGGTCCTTCGGCGACGGGACCACCCACCCAACGTGCAGCTGACAGGGGTGCTGTGAAGCCACTGCGTCTTGGTGCTCATGAGCTTTATATCCCTGCAGGGAAACCCAGCAGGGATTCGGGAATGGCGATCCCAGAGGTGCTAGAGCTGCCTGCTGTTCCCCTGGAGCATCAAGGGCATTTATTTTGTATCCGAAAACCAAGTCCAGCGTTTCAAACCCACGGAAGGCAGATCTGCCGCCATTGAGTTCTCAGTGCATGTTCCATTTCAGAGCTGGTTTTTTCCAAACTAAAGTTATTTTCTGTACATAATTTAATGCTCTCTTTGGGCCACCTCCCTCTTACAAAGCTGAGAGTGATGTTTGGGAAACAAGGACAACCAGGCTGTCATGCAGATTTCGGGTATATCAGTTATATGCTCCTTTCGTAAAAATTTTCCGAGGGCGACCCTTGAAAAAACACAGAATGTTTTTAAGAAAGGAAATTCCAGTGTATTCCAGGAAAAATTAGATATCCAGTCTAGCCAACTAATATTTTAATTGAGCGGTAACACAGTTGTTTTTAACCTAAACGTATTTTTCCCTTGGAGGTGTAAAAGTGTAACTATGTTAGAGTGGTGTAGGAATATGTGATGGCTTCCCCAGACACATGGGGGTCTGCAGGGAGAATTCCTGGTGGTGGATGCGGTGGCAGCAGGAAATCATAGAATATCCTGAGTTGAAAGGGACCCGCTGGGTGAGATCACCCAGCGCTGTCTCTCCAGGTCAGGAGACACCTTTCCTGCCACGACAGCTGGTGACACTCCACCACGGGAGGACAGACGAGGGTCTGTGCCTTGTGTTGGCACGGCATCCCCCGTTCAAATAGGTTTGGTTGGAAGGCTGGCAGGAGTGTTGTGGCACCTCCTGAGCTAGTGGGACACTTGGCAAGGAAGTCGGGCCAGCGTAGACTCCATCCCCTTCTTGCACAAGGGGGGAGAGGAGGGGAAAGCCCTTCCCACCAGAGCTGAGAACAAGGATGGAGGAAGCTCTCCTTGGCTGGATCCCACTGGGGCTTGGCTTTGGGAGCTCCACGTGCTGTACAGGGAGTGTGTTTGCACTTTGCAGAGGATGTTCTCAGAGCTATCCAGGTGCAGAATCAGGCAGTATGTGCAGCACTTGGGGTCCTGCAGGGATTGCCATTCCTCCTGCTTTCACCCTGTTAACCCAGCCCTTTTCTGCTCGTGCTCTCGCCTTTAGCCCCTCATTGCTTTCCTGGAACCCACTTGCCAGGCTGTTCACACCCTTTGAGCGTGTTATGGACAAATTACACCCAAATTGCCACCCAGTCCGTAAGAAACCCCAGCAGAAACCTGTCAGCTGAAGCTGTTTTCTCGGCAGTGTGGTGTTCATTGCATCCCCCATTTAACCCTTCCCAGCATCCCAGATACCTTTAAGTCCCCCTTCCTCTGCACTTTATCCACAACAGCTAAAACACTAGAAGCGAGTCAGCTGTTGCTGTCACCATCAGCACCTTCCTTCTATTTTTAGCTAATTGCTGTTGAATGGTGGGGATGAGTCGGATGTGTCATATCTGGCATCTGAACATGGATATTGCTGAGGAGGGTTCACTTCTCGCTCTTTATGAAGAAATAAGATCCAACCAGGGTCCTGCAGAGATTTTGCCAAGGGCTCCCATTACCAGATTTCTAATTTTATTGGTAAAAGGGGGCATTAAAAAAAAATATATATTTTGGAGAACTTGGTTATGAACTAGGTGTGCTGCTTGGAAAGCCAGGCAAGCTCCTGGAAGGTGAGAGAGGATTTTCGAGTGTTTGGGCATAGTGTATAATAACCATGTAAACATTAATATTGTTTAATTTGCCATCTTGTCCCCGTTTCCCTAAATTATGTGTGTTAGTGCAAAAAGAAAAAAGCTTTAGCGGCACTTGGAGATTTCCCTTGGCCAGAGGAAGCTGAGTCACGTAGGGAGAGGAGTAGAGGTGGGAATGCAGATACGGGCTTAGAAATGATCTCCAGCACTGTAATGTAGTATAATTAGATTATATGGGGTTGGAATAGCTTCATCTTTTATATTTGTATGGAGATCGGGAAAAATGAAGTAATTTGTAGTTTCTAGTATAAAGTAGTAATAGTGGAGACAAGCACAGATTTCACAAGGGGGTCCCAAAGGGGCCCTTTCCAAACGTCTCGGGGAGCCGCCTTTGCACCTTAACAGGGATGGTTATTGGGTTTTGTTAGTTGGTCTCTGATGAAATGGTCCTTGTCAGTGGTGGGACTCAAGGGAAAGGAGGGGAGCATTGAGGACCAAACCTGGGGCAGCTTGGCTGGGCAGGGGACAACTTGTCCATCCTCATCTCACAGTCAAGCATCTTCCTCCCCCCTCCAGAGGCAGCTACAGCGATTCCTGAGTGGGATCTCCAGCTGCTGGTCTTGAATCCTCAGTTACACATCTTCCGTTCTTGGTGATTTGTGGGTAAAATTTGTTGCGTAGAAAACCCGTTTTTGGATGTTATTGTGTTTGCAGCACAGTAGGAGAAAATAAAAACACTCCAGATTAAAGTTCCTTCCGAGGTAGAAAAACACTAAACCACCCTAAATTAAGAGGTTCTGCAGAGAGTTTTGAGTTCTGAAATTCTGAACTGCCAAAAAGCAGATTGGTTTGAATGGTTTTATTAGAAAAGAATCTCCTGTTTGAAAAAATAATAGGGGTCATAGAGCAAAACTTTCGAAGTTGTAGGTGGGTGTATTTGTTGATTTAGGATGCTCTAGGATTTGCTTTGTTGTTTGGTATGGGCCAGTTTTTGGAGTAAGTATCAGATGGTCTCATCTCAGGACAGTTTCCCTTGAGTTGACTGAATCTGTCTCACACTTTAAAGGGAGGTTCAGAGGGTTTCAGCCAGGATTTTTGGGAGCTGGGAATAGTTCATGTTTTGAGAGGGGAATTGCATGATCTTTGAAAATAAAAGGTTGTTTTGGAGGTTCTTTTAGAGCCATCTTCAGCCCCAAATCACCAAGCATGTTTCTGGTCATCTTGGCCCCATGTTTCATTTCAAGGTGACAGCAGTATGTGGGTGAATTAACTCCCATCATTTACCACTGTTCCTGGAATGCTTGGGGAGGGGGGGGGAGTTCTGCTTGTGGATGGATAAAATAAAAATGTTTCAGTGCATTTCAGCAGTTTTAACCTCTTCATCTCTGTATGTGTGCCCATCTCCCAGATCCCTGGGGCACATTCCAGCGGTAGTGGTTGGTTCTGTTGGCAGGCAGAGCTTCAGCTTTCCCTTGGCCATGAACTCCTGAATGTGTGTTTAGCTTCCAGTAGTAAGGACTGACTGCTCTGCAGTGCTTCAGAGCTAGTGCTTTTTACCTGTGTGTTCTGTACAAAATGTGAAGGGAGGGTGGGTGGGGGATGCTTTCGGGGGTCTCACGGCATGCGTTGCTTGCTGGCAGTGAATGCACCATCAGCTCCTTTGTGTACGCCCCGTTTCCCAGAACCCATCGCTGTGGGTTTGTTGCTGTTTCTGAGAACTGAGGAAGCTGAAAACACTTCCCTGGTCCTCGTGAATTACAAGGTACAGGGTGTAAAACCCCTCAAACAAACCAGGTCGCGTCTGGTCTGTGCTGAAGGAAAACCTCAAGCTCATGCAGGACCCAGGAAGGGGTTTGGTGCTGAATGGGCGTCGTTATTTGGCAACTAGATCCCAAATGCAGGGATTGAGTTGAGTGTGTGAAGTGCAGTCAAGGTGTTCTTTGCCCTAAGGTGAAGGTGGTCTGTCACTAACCACACTTGGTGTGTATGTGTGTGCCTGGATGTGCTCTCCACACTGCTGGTGGTTACTGTGGGAATGTGGTGCACACATCAGTCGCAATCCATGGCTGGAGCCACCTTTTCAGTCGGATGTTTCTGAACAGGCAGATTTCCCAGTTTGAGTCAGACCAGCCATTCCCAAGAGCACAGAGGGCAGGATGGGGGGCACCAACTGGAGAGATGCAGGAATGGGAGGTACAGGCTTAGTGCAGCTCAGGACTCACACAGAGACCTGCCTCAGAGGTTTTCCAGAAGTCCAGCTCCTTCAGACAGCAACACTGAACTTGAACTTGGTCACTAGGACTGGAGCAGGCCTCCTTGGCTGAGAGGAGAAATCCCAGCTTGCCAGCCCTGGGGGTGGGAAACACCAGGGAAGGAGATTATGAAGTTGAAAAGGACAGTGTTGCAGCTCAGAGGCCCTTTTTTTATATAAATTTGCTTGAAACTCAGCCTTCTGGCTGACTTTGAGCATGGGACCTGCTGCCCTCCTGTGGGTGAGCCAGCGATGCTTTGGGTCCTGCTGCTTTCTGGGGCCGTTGGGGATGGCAGTGGGGAGATGTTTCTGATGGGCTGTCTCCGGCCCCAAGGGCAGCTGCTCCCTCCACATGTTCTTGGCCTTGACTCTCTGGCCTCAAAACTTTGCCATGTGGGAGCCACAAACCACAGCTGAAGCTCACTGAGGCTTTTGCCTGTGCTGAGTAGTCCAGGAACAGTAGTCCTGTCAGGGAGAATCCGCAGGGAGAGAGAGGGCAGGTCTGGCAGGACAGGAAGGGGCTGTGGTAGGGACATGGCTGTGTGTGTGGAAATGATGGGAGGGTCATTCATTTTCCCTTCCTTCTGTTACTTTGAAATGCTGTTGAAGTCCCCTCCAAGCATTTTTTCTGAGTATCCAGAAATTCAGCTGGATTCTCCATTGAATCTGCTGAGCTCCTTTTGCTAATCCATGGGGGAAATTAGACATCCCCGTCCTCTGAAAGCACACGGCCCTTTGCTCTGTGGAAGTACCAAGTTTCCAGGGCTCCAGATGCATTCGGCCCAGCTCTCTTTTACCATGTCAATGTCAAGAGCACCTTTCACTTGTAGACACATAGGTGGTGCACAAACTGAAGGGTTGTTTGGGTTAGGAGTGTCTTCTCGAACACCAGGGACTTGTTTTGTGTAAGTATTGCCTTTGGACTTGGATTGGAATTGCCAGGAGCTTGACTGTGCAGCTCCTGCTGCCTTAAACCTCTCGGCTTCAGTGGGGTTTGAGCGTGTCCCAAATGCCTTGCCCTTGTCTGAGGCAGAACAGCTCTGAGCTGGCAGAGTTAGGCTGTGTCCTGACCTCTCTGAAGGCAGAGTTTGGCCCCTGGTCCCAGCCAGGTCCTGGTTTGAGGTTCAATCTAACGGGCACCTTTATTTCGGGAAGCGGACACATAAACTGTTCTCTTTTCCTTTATTCCTTAATAACCTGTGACTGCCTGCAGAGGCTGGATTTTGCATTCAGCCCCCAAGTCTTTCAGGTTTTTCTGCTTTATGATGTTTGTCTTTCCGGTCGGGATGGGGACAAGGGAGCCCAGGTGAGTAGGGACACCCGAGACCTCTGCTTGGGGTAGGGGCAGGAGGTCCCTAGCACGTGGCAGGCTTTAGAGCAAGTTTGGGGTTGTTGTTTTATTTTTGTTTTCTGTTTCTGTAAATAATAATGTATAAATGATGACAAGACAGTGTGGAAATTCTAAAAAAAAAAAAAAAAAAAAAAGTCTTTTGTTGTTGTTTTTATATTACCTCATTCAGCAAGTTTGTTTTACAATGACTCAATGATGCTTTATTTATATTGTTTGTACTGTAATTAAACCAATTGACAAACATTTCACTTTGCTTGTTGTTTCCTATGATTTGGGTTTGATTAAGTATGCCAGTTTGTATTATGTTCCCCTTTCCTCTCTCTCTCTCTCTCCAACACATTGAGATTTTTTGTGTCAGCTGTACAGTATTCTGAATAATTAAAAAAAAATAAAAAATAACAGAAAAAAAAACAACAAAGAACAAAAAGTTGTAAAGTACTGCAGAGAGAGGCTGCTATATTATATAGGTCTCTTTCTAATAAAGACAAGAAAACTTGTTGGTCGCAGCTTGTTCTTTGCTTGAGTCTTCCTCGTGTTATTGAGCTACACCTGCCCTGGCCCTGCTTCCTCCCCCTGTTAGTGATGAGATCCTGTCACTCCTGCCAGTAATAAAGATGAAGGATTATCCCAGACCTGGGATGTCAGAAGAGCCAGTAATGGTGCAAATTGATAAATTAAAAAGCAATAAGTCAACCCCACCGTAATGGTGTATATGTAAGAGTTCTGAAAGTGCTTGTGAAGTGAATGGCAGATCTCCCAGCCAAAAATATGTGAGCTTTCATTAAAAACAGTTATTCTCCCCGAGGAAGAGAGAGTAGTAAATGTTGCACCTTGGCTTTAAGAGTCTCTGGAGGTGATCCAAGGAATTAGGCCAGTAACGGTTACATCTGTATCTGCTAAATTGGTTGAAATGATCATTTAAAGTAAGAATAATAAAACATCTTTAAGGTCATGATATGGTATGGTCTAATCACTTCTTGGAAGGGAAATCATGGCTCTCCATTAGGCTCCTCGGAGCAAGTCCTTTAAAGCCCTGAACAATGGGCAAGTGATGGACATTTATTTACAGCTTCAGATGTCCCAAGTACATCCCGAGAGGGAATCAGGAATCTCAGCAGGCTCAAGGAGAAGACAAACTATTGTCCTGATGCAGAAGGTCGAAGGTGGGATGGGGAGGGAAGCAAGAGGTGATGGGTTTTCACTGGAGCACACTGGGAACTCTCCAGAGGGGTCCCTGCCTGGGCCATCGTGCCCCAGGGGGTTGGCAGTAGGATTTGTGATCCCAGTGGCTGCAGAAGGAAATTACATAAGGGTGAGGGAGCTGTGTGGGACCAAGGTGGGTGCATGGAGAATAGCAGGAAAAATTCAGTAAATCTGTATTAACTGGGCGTTAAATAATGTGCCCTGGCATGGAGAAAGAAATGTAAGATTTAAAGATCTGTAAGGACACCATGGAGTGAGACAACCAATGCTGTGGTTTGGCTCCCTGTACTTGTCTCACCTCACACAAAACAGAGAAATTAGGAATGTTCAGGGATGAGTAGAGGCGGGAAAAGTGTGGAATTTCCCTCAGAAAGAGACCCCAAGTGGGGGAATATGATAAAAGCAGACAAGAAGTGGGGAAGCAGCAGACTGGGGATGTCTCTCTTCCTGGCCTTGCCCCCAACACTCTGCACAGGCTGATGGCACCAAAGGGCAGCATGGTCCAAACCAACTGAGATGGACAAGATGTGCCACAGGACCTCAGTGCAGCAGGATCTTGCACAAGAGAAGACCTGGCCAAGGCTGGAAAGGTGAGTTTGCACCTCCATGCTCTGAGCGGGACTGCCACAGTGTGGGATCTGGGGTTTGGGGGGTTATCTTTTACTCCTGCTTGTACCTCGGCCTAAATGTGTTCATTCCTCAGGTTATTGCCCATCCCACCCAGTCTCCCACCTGCTGTCAGTTCTGTCCTGTCACATGGGCACTTGGTTGGGGTTTGGAGGAACTTCCCTGTTTCTTTTTCTGCTTCTCAGTTCTCCCAAGTGCTACAGGGAGGCCGTAGCAGCACTGTGAGGGATGAAAAACAACAGGACTGCTTGGGGATGTTGGGTTTTTACTTTTTTTTTTGGGGGGGGGGGATGTCACATGGCTGTTTTGTCAAGCAGCAGCCAGATTCCTTTGTTCCTGAAAGGTTTTCCCACCCCGTTGCAGCCCGTCCAACGCAGGAGGTGGGTGCTTTGTGCTCTCCCCTCTGGGTTTGAAATGTGAACTTCGAACATGGGAGAACTTGTTTTGGATTCCCCCTGGGTGTAAAGCTGTAGAAGAGCTCTTTTTTTAGGCATCATCTGTCCCTCCCCTCCTTTGCTCTCCCAAAGGGGTATGGGTTTTGATTTTGTGATGGGCATGGCTGGCTGCTCTGTCTCTGTAACAACCCTCCTAAGATCTGGCTTCTCCTGGAAGATCCTGGTGCCGAGGGATGGTGGAGCAGATTTAAGGATGTCTTTCATGCCCACATTTCTCCCCTTACCCTAAGCCCACCCCCACGTACCCCTGAGACACTCTCAGCTGGTGGCATTCACTGATACCTTGGAAGAAAAGAAAATATCCTACGGCTAAGCAACAGGGGTCAGAAAGAGGTTTTGAAGGAAAACTATTGATTCCCATAATGGGAGTAGGGGGAACATCCAACATCCACTTTTTTTTTTTAAATGAGAAAAAGCAGTTTCTAAAACGACCAGACTGTTGGTCTGCCACAAGGCCTCGCTGTTAACTCTGATGGGTGCTGGGAGCACCAGCTCAAGAAACCTTCTCCAGAGCCCAGAAGCACATCACTCATGCCCAGAGTCACTCCAGGACTCGGTGGCAGGAGCTGGAAGTGGTGTCCAGAGATGCTGCTCAGACACTTGGTGCTACCCTGATGGGGAAGAACCCAGCAGAACATTGGGCTGGGAAGCAGGATGTCCCCACAAAGCTTTTCTAAGCCCAGCACCACCTGCTTTGAAACTCCTCCTTTTGCCCTTTTTCCTGTTTCTGTGACGGATCTCAGGCAGGGGATTGCAGGAAGAAGCAGGCAATGTGGTTTTTTCCCTGGTGAGGCATCACAATTCCCACCTGAGCAATGCCCAGGACATGACTTTGGGGAATCATTTAGGTTGGAAAAGACCTTTAAGATCATTGAATCCAAACATAAAGAGAGAGCACAGCCTGCAGTAGTTACCAGGAGGGTGCACTGGGGAAACGTGGCTGCTCCTGTAAAACCACTCGATGTGCAGTCGGAAAAACACCAGCCCAGGGCAGGCTGGGAATCCCACCAGGCAGTCATTGATCTCGCCTAATGTCCAGTAAAGCCTTAATTGCCCAATAAATGCAGTCACAGTAACCACAGTTGATGTGCCAGCAATTAGCACTTCTTTATTTGCATTCTGCCCCCACCGATCTCCGCTTCCGACTTCCAGGTCTGTTTGGTTTTGAGCTGGAGAGACTCCCTGGGTTTCCAAAGGGAGGAAGAGGAGAGCTGGAGTGGTGGGAGAGAGGTGAAGCTGAGCCTCGGAGCAGGAGGGATGTGCCCCGAGGGATGCAGAACCCCCTGCAGGGCTTTCCCGGTCCTCAGGGATTGATGTTGGGCTTCCAGGGAATGCACCAAGCCTGGGATGTGCTCAAGCCTTTTGGTGCTGCTGACACCAAGGGCATGCTTGTTGTTCAGCTGAAGAGAATCTCCTGATCACCTTTTGCAGCAGAAAATGGTCATTTTGGTGCTGGAGACAACAATTCACATCATTTTGGAGGATTAGTGGAAATCAAAGGCCAGGAATTTTGATCTAATGAAGCAAGGGCTGGGATTCCAAGCAGCCTCAAGCTGCCAGAGCAAGGATGAGGCAGAGAGAAAAGCATCCTGCCTGATGCCCACTGGCAGCTGCCAGGGTGAGGAGATGCAGCAGGAGGGAGAGAGGGGGTTCCCAAGTGCCAAAACACCTCATCCTGCAATGCTGCCTGTGCCGGCTGGACACTTGTTTTGAAATCCCACCTCTGCTTTGGGCCATGCAGAGAATGTTGCATCTACTTTGCAGGCAAAATGAAACCACTGAGAGCCCTTGGCTTCTGTGTTGGGATGAAGATGTCCATCAGCATTTTGGTGAGGTCCCCGAGTGCTGCCTGGGCGTGGGAGGGAAAAGCTGCACATTGCCTTGGGAAAGGGGGGGAAGCAGCCTGTCCCAGCCAGAAATTAGAATACAGGCACCCAGCCCTGTGTCTACCCCTCTGAACAGACTGTCTTTGGAGGTGTTTGGGAGGTTTTTGGGAGTCTGGGGACTGGCAAGGGATCGTGCTGCCAGACAGCCTGGTAAGTGGCACAGAATGGGGCTGTGCCCTGAACAGGAGCCCAGGAGAGCGTGGGCACACTGAAGGCTGCCGGGCGTCACCCCCGATGGATGAGCCTCTCCGGCTGCTGCTGAGGCAACTGGATTTCAGTACCACCTTCCTTCCCACCCCCAGCACACTCCCCTCCTCCTCCTCCTCCCCACCAGAGATGCAGCAGCCACAGCTCCCGCTCTGCAGATCCAACTGGTAATGGCCGGGCTGATTGACTGCAGATTTCCCTGTAACTGAGCTTAATTAGCAAGCTAATCAGGTCTGGAGATGGTTCCAATTTATTTATTGGCTGATGGCTGCCACTAATCGGCCTGGCCAGTTAATACTGGCAGCGCTGAGGTTTGTGCCAGGTGAACAAATACATCAGGATTCCATCCTTTCCAGCACTGGGGGCTGGCAGGAGAGCCGGGATGTGGGCAGGGTGGCATCCACAGCATCCCCTCCCCGTGAGGTGAGCAAAGGGCTGAGCACTGTGCCCAGCTCAGACCAGCTCTGGCTCACCAGTAGGATGATGTTTGCAGGCAAGGATAGAAAGGGAGCGTGTTCTTTGCAGATGACAGAGCTCAAACACCCAAAATAGTCCTTGTGGCGGGGCCGAGGCATCCAAAGGCAGTGTCGTCCGTGGGTCACCTTCAGAAGAGGTGACCCGGGGCAAGCCTCTTACAACTTGCACTTCTTAGTTCCCTCCAGATGCGCAAAAGAGATTTAAAAGAAGATTTTATTTTGCTTTAAAAAAAAAAAAAAAAAAAAAAAAAAAGGGAATTGTTCTGTA